TGTTATGTGTAAATGGGGCCTCAATCCAAAAGCGCATTAAAATATAATATCAATTGGAGTTTTTAAACTGACAAAATTTGGTTTGGTTCTCATTGGCTCACCAGCTCCATTAGAGCCCTACAGATCCAAATGCTCTGTCTATGGAGCTATTTTCCCTCTTTTGTCAAGAGTCTGGTCTTTGAATTTGAGTGGCATATTTCCCCATTTTATGTTCTCTCAGACATACTGTTGCTGCACGTATGTTCTGTGCTTCAGTTCAAGTGTCGCACTCTGACTGTTTTGTGCACTCACGTAATGTCTGATTTCAGGTTTGTGCTCTCGTGTTCAGGTCTGTGTGAAACAACCTTGTCGAGACTCCCCAACCAACAGAGGGCCAGCTATGACCTTTAATGTGGTTTAACAGGATCTGCTAATAAGGGAAACAACCTAAATGACCTAATTTTTCAGCAAGAAAACAGAAAGTCGATGAGGCTGCTATTATATGTCACTATTACAGTAAAAAATATAGAGTGTAAATATGTACATTTGGACAGTGGTTTATATATATCTATTCCGGCAAATATTCAGTTCTGGAGCATTAGTTATAAGAAGTAAAGGGAATATGCCTGTAAATTAGCGGTGATGAGTTCATTGGTCAGTTTCTTAGCTGGCGTTCTGGTTGGAGACTCTTGACAGATTTGTTTCACACAGATCTGAGCATGACAGCACAAATCTGAGAGCAGCACTTTCGTAAGTGCAGAGGAGCAGTCTGAGTGCACCGAGTGTCCGTCTGTGAGTGTGAGGAGGCACACTTCAATTGAACCACAGGACATTTGTCCAGCAACAGTACAACTAAGTGTAGACAAACAGTTGTGAGCAGAGCAGATCTGAGGGAAAGCATTATACTATGTTGAAGTGGGTAAAGAAACTTTACACCTGTAGTGAACCGACGCATTTCAACTGCAGCACTAATTCAACACAAGTCTGCTGGACTTGAAATAACCAGGCAAAGTCTTCTTCTCCATTTTGCTTCCATTTTTTCACAGGTTCTGTACATGCCCTCTGTTGATGCAGATATCGTCACGATTCCCCTTCTGATTCGACCGATATTTAGTGTTGAGACCAAAACTTTAGGTTATGAAGCTATTTTTATCAAAATGCGACAGACTGGCGACCCGTCCAGGGTGTCCCCTGCCTTTGCCCTGAGTCAGCTGGGATAGACTCCCAGGACCCTAGTGAGGATTAAGTGGTGTATAGATGATGGATGGATGGATGTCCAGCACTTCATTCATGAACAAGAATCAAACTGTTTCTCTGAGGTTTTACTGAGACACAGTGGTGCTTTGAGCTTGTCAACGCACAATGATGTTTAGCATGTTTAAAGCTTTCCATGTCCACTGTCTTAGTTTAGCCCGTTAGTATTATTAATATGTTAAGAGCTGTTAGTTAGCACTAAACACAGAGCACAGCTGATGGCAACGTTAGCTTTGCAAATATTTAGCTTTAAATCATGTGTGAACAAAGTTCAGCTTCAACCTGGTCATAGCAACATCTCCATCGTCATTAAAATTAGAGACAATATGTGACTCAAATGTCAAACCGTGCAGCAATTGTAAAGACATTTCACTTAAAAACCACAAATGTCAGCCTTGAGACTGTAAGAGTGAAAAAACAGAAGGGATCACAGTCAGAAAACCCACTGACGGTGCGAAATTCCCATCTCTAGAGTCGTGCCTTAAAATGACTGTACAGAGCAGTTTGTGACAATGTGTTGGCCGAATGAGTGTACAGTACTCTCAGATAATCAGCCGACTTTAACATCTTGTCCACAGTCATAATTAATACACGTCAGCAAAGTCAGGCATTCTGTAGGATTAATCTTTTCGCACAGTTGCAATGTTTATTCTAAGGATGATGGAAATTAGCAACCACACAAAAAGGACCTAAATAACTTCTCGGAGCTTCCTTCAGCTGGAAATAGTTTCCTGCTTTAGTAAAAACTTTTTTTTTTTTCATGCCATGAAGTCACACTCATCCTGGCTGTCATTTGGTTTGCCGTTGGCTTGGTGACCTTCTGCACATCACGGTCCAATCGATGCTCACTCTTACGTAACATGCATCTGTGTGGCTGCGCTGCGAGAGTTTAACATCGTCAACAGTCTCACTGGCAGGAAATGATGAAGGAACTGAAATCTGCAAGTAAATAAATAAATAAAACTGTTGAAGCGCTGCCCTGCGTCATCTATCCTTCCTCCTCTCGGCCCTCCGTCCTGTACCTGTCGCCTCCCTGATCCCTTCATCCTCATCCCAAAACCCTCACCCTCCCTCCTGCCTCTCACTCTAAATGCATCTCTCTCTCTCTCCCTCTTTTCCTCACTGTTCCTCTTCTCCCATCTCTGGTCCTCAGCCAATCGTTGCCCCCTTCGCCAGTTCCACCTCTCCATCCCCCACTTCCTTCCTTTCTCTCCTTTCTTTCTTTCTTTTCTTTTCTGTCAGCCTCCTCCCCACTGCCCTACATTTACTCTCTTCTTTTCATTCTCTCTGCTACACTTTCTCTCTCTCTCTCTCTCTCTCTCTCTCTCTCTCTCTCTCTCTTTTGCTCTGATATCCAGCACGCAATACAGTGAAAATCAGAGGAAAGTGGAGGAAGCGATGAGTTTGCTCCGGAATGACAAGACATAAAGGAGGGGATTTTGGGAGAGGCGATTAGCGGAAAGCAAAACAAAAAGCCCCTTGTCAATCTGGCTTATAATTCCATTAAAAATTGTACATGTGGTAGTTTACTTTGAGAAAAGCTCTTATAATTGGCCTCAGCGGTGACATGTTTGTGTGTACATGTATGTGTGTGTGTGTGTGAGAGCATGTAAGTGTGTGGTTGGAGAACACTTTTATGTATTTTCTTACGCACATGTGTTCTGATTTTCATCTGTAGAGTGTGTGTGTGTGCATGCACGTGTGTTTGCAAAAGTGCGCATGCATGCATGTGTGTTTGCGGTCTTTAGCGGCGTGTGCCAGTCTCAGCTCCTGGTTTTGGCATCCCTCGCTCAGGTTGGGATTTAAACAAAAGAATAGACGAAGCTGGAGTTGGACCCTGCTGACTCCTGAATCTTTCTGACACAAACAGATGCTCACAACACACACACACACACTTGTACATGCACACACTCGACACAGAAATCTGCAAACAAGTGTGTTATCTATGCCCAAGGCGCGAGGGGAGGGCGGGGAAGAGACACTGAGAGACGGGAGAAGAAAGGATGGGGAAGTGGGAGATGTGGGATGTGGGGAAGGGGGGGGTTGTAGGAGGAAGGGGTTGGCGCTTGTGCATGTGTGTGTGTGTGTCTGTGTGTGTGTGTGTGTGTGTGTGTGGTGGGGGTCACGAAAAGCAGGAGACAGACGGGAACTGGGGGAACGATAAGTAGATGATGAGCAGGAGTGACCGCAGCAGATGGTGACTGTCCTCTATGAGTCAGGCAAATGTATTCGACATACAGTAACACACACACACACACACACACACACACACAGATACACACAAACAAACCAACAAACAAAGAGGATGCAGAGAAAAACAAAAAAAAGTGACTAATTACTCAGTTACAGCCGACATTTCAGTTTTTCCCTCCTCTTTTTTTTTTTTTTTTTTTCCCCATCTCTCTCCTCCCTACTTGCTCCTTCCAGGCATTTTTCCTCTGGGGATGATGGGAGATGCAGCTGGATATAACTCCCCCCACACACACACACAAAATCACACACCCCACACACCCACACACACACACACACACACACACACTCACTCACACACTCACACTCGCTCTCCTCTCTCTCTCTCCGTCTATCTGGCACTGAGCAGAAGTAAACAGAGGAGGAGATCTCATTTGGTTCCTGAACTGTTGCAGAGCGCTCAGTGCAGCCACCACACACTCTCACTTAATTTCTCTCACACACACACACACACACACACACACACATTCACACACACATGCACACACACACACATACATACATGCACACACGTGAACACACACAGCACACAAAGGGATATTGGCAGCAGGAGATCCTGACAGTCCAGGACCGGACTCACACCTGCCAGCTCTGACTGAGCAGCTTTTTTTTTTTACAGAAGAAGAAGAAAAAGGAGAAAAAAAGATACGAAGGAAAAAAGGAGGGAAAGAAAGCGAAGAGGACAAGAGGAAGGAGGTGTTTTTTGTGGTTTGTCGAATCCACCAGATCGCGTTCACAGCTGAGGATGGAGAACACATGAGGAAGAGTGACAGCTGCGGGGACAGTCGGGGGAAAAATGCTGCTGGGTAAAGTTTGTGGATATTTCTAGAGGGATTCCTTTTTCTTTCTTTTTTTTTTTTGCCCTTGAACTTCAGGAAAGAACTGCAGAGGGTCGACTGCGTGCAGACCAGAAACAGGGAAAAGGTGAGGACACATTCAGAAATTCTGAGCAGAAAAATTCTCCCAAGAGTTTCTGTTTCTTTGTGGTGTTTAAAACTTGCACTTGTTTTTCTTCACATGCGTTTATTTTGAATTATCTGCTGTCTCACTAAAAGGCAAAGGAGTCAGTTTATGCTGATTTCTCAGTAGGACAGCTGGTGCTTCTGCTGTACATTGCTCTTTTTTTTAAATAAAAAAGCCTGGTGATGATCATGTCTCACTGTACGAGTGGTCCAATAGTGACTCTGACTGACCTATTTAAAATGTCCTTTGCCCTCTTTTCATTATTGATTCCAATAAGCATGTAGGATCGATAGACGCATCATGTGTTTTTGCAGGACCATGCTGTCAATCTGTTTGTTCAGTGTTGTAGCAAACTTACTCAGTGAAAACTGAGAAGAAATTAACATAATGCAACTATGTCTGCCTTGCTGTGATGTTTGTGAAGCATCTAAATGTTATTTTCTCTCCAGTGACCTTCGTCTGTCTTTAACACTCTTCCAACCGTCTCCAAACTTGTCTCCCTCCCATCTGAAGCCTGCAGGTGGGACATTGGATTAAAGGGCTCTTCCAGAAGCATGGCGACCATCAACCCTTCCTCCTGCCACCTTTTCCTCTTCTTCCTCCTCTCCTTCCTGATTATCCAGCCAGCCCTCACCCAGGACCCATCCGTCACCACGGTGGCGGTAACTGAGGGTGACTCATTCATTGTCCCCACCACGCTGGCCAACCAGACGACCAGCAGCTATGTGGAGACCACCCAGAACACTCCTCCAGAGACGGGGCTCTCAACGCCCTCCAGCGGCGGAGACGGCGATGACGAGGACTCCCCTCCGTCTGGCGGGACACGTTGTCAGGGTTACTACGACGTAATGGGCCAGTGGGACCCACCGTTCAACTGCAATGCCGGCGTCTTTCTGTACTGCTGCGGTACCTGCTTCTACCGCTTCTGCTGCCAGTTCCGCCAGCAGCGGCTGGACCAGAGCATCTGCTCCAACTACGACACCCCCATCTGGGCCAACACCGGCAAGCCAGTGGCCACCATCACCGAGGGCCAGGAGGACCAGGACCGGGACCGCACGCACCTCATCGTCTACATCATCTGCGGAGTGGTGGCCATCATGGTGCTGGTGGGCATCTTCACCAAACTGGGCCTGGAGAAGAGCCGCGGAGGAAGCGGAGCAGCAACGGGGGCGGCTCAGGCTGACCTCAACTCCAGGTGAGGAAGTGTGGAAAGAGTGTGTGGAGGTGGTGTGTTTGCTGACATTTCCCTATAGAATATAGATGCAAGCAAAGAGGTGGTTAGAAGTTTGTGTGTGTCTTTAGTACAATTGTCCACGCATGCACATATGTGTGTGTTTGCATGGGTCTCCTGCTGCACTGCAGGGATGTTGGAAAGTTGGAAATTCTGACTTCACCCCAACAAAAAAACAGATGCAAGAAACACAGAGCAGATAATGAAGCATTTTCAAGTTGCAGATTAGAGTTACACCAACACACAACCTGCCAGCTTGGAATTTACAACTTCCAACTTTCAATGTGAGTCTGTGGGCCTACTAACATGTGTGCATGTGTGTATGTTTGCTTGCACGTGTTTAAATTAATCTCAAAACTTTAAAACATAGAACTAAATTCAACCAGCTCATCCCAACCTTAAAGATTCTTGGAGCAGAAACTGATGACTTTGTCATGGAGGTGTTCAATACATGTTGTGTCAAGTCCAGTTAGAGGAAGGACAGAACAGGGGAGTTCATTGATCATAATATGGTATTTTATTCCAGGTGTGTAAAACATTGTACTTTATTCTATTAGATTTTTTTATTCAGTCATCAGGTGTCTCTGCATGTTAGACTACAGCTGTAAGGTTCAAGCTCATATGTCTTTACACCCCATATACATTTATTAAACCCTTACTTTTGGTTCTGCTCATCATTTAAATATGTTTCTAATTTCACATTTTTCTTTGTTTTATTTCTTTGTACTTGTTTCTGTTTTTCATTTCCTTTTCTTTTTCATCTTCGTTTGTATTTTACCCCCTGTGTACCATTTGCTTTCTCTTGTAAGCATGACTTATATTTGAAATAAACAACAACAAAAAAAAAATGTGCAAAAGAGAAATCAGCCAAACTATCTTTGCTGCAGTAAAGCGCTCATAAAGAAGGAACATCTTTGTGCTTCTGTGTGAGAATTCCTCCTTTAAAGTTTGCCTCAGGTGTGCCGAGCTGTCAAGGTTTTTACTATGAGCACAAGATAAGTCACTTTTTACACTTTGTGCATTGAAAAATGAAAGAGTTTTGAGCAGCTGGATGGTCAATGGATCATTGACACTTAAAAGGAAAACACAAGCTGGTGAATAAAACAAGCTTCTTTTTGGAGTTACAGTTTTAAACGCCATTCTCTTCTCTCCTAAAATACATGCAAGCATGCAGACACACATGTAAACACACACTCCTGCTGCAGCCGGGTTAAGTACACGGTCCTGGGTTCAATCTGTTCGCCTCAGGAAATCATTACAGCAAACAGTGCACAGCATGGGCTCCGATCCTTCAGCTTTCATCGGCGACTATCTAACCCTCGCTAGCTGCTTCACCACATTCTCTCTATCAAGGGCTTATTCGTCTTATCTCTCCGAGCTTCTTGTTTTTGATCTCGTTTTCTTCTTCAAATCTCCATTTCATCATTTGTTCCTCTCATCCTGAGTCTCTTTGTCACAAATCCTGCTGTTTTGGTTCCTCAGCTCTTCTCTAAGTCAACTATCCTGCAGCCTTTCATCCCCATCTTCTCTCTTCTGGGGCCCATATTATGGTATTTTCACCATTTCACCCTCCAAACCTTCTCTCCCCTGCATCCTTTTCGTCAGTGTCACACCTCCTTGTGTCCTCCAGCAGCTTTCACTCATATTTTAGTTAATTCTTGCTGCAGTTTAATTGAGAAAGTGGACATGTACACCAAAAACCTTTACTGACCAGCAGCTCTGTTTGCTCTCCTCCCATTAACCTGCATTGCAAAAACTCATTCGGCGGATAACACACATCCAGGATTATTATTTCCTGCAGGGTAGCACCTCACTGAAATAGAAACACTCCGGCTGCATAAACATCCTCCCTCCGTGAGCCCATCTCGACAGATTACCGCCCCTCCTCGAGATTAAACAAATTTCACCGAGATTACAGCTTTACCATTTCTGGACCGCTCTGCCTGCAACGCTTGTTTAGTTATTAGCCTGCTGACATAAATCCCTGGTCCAAAAGTGTACGTGCAACTAAGACCTCATGTACAGCGCGCACTTCAAGAGGTGACATGCGTAAATATGTACATGCAGCCACGCTCTGGAGAGCTGGAAATTAAAGTGACAAAGCACAAAGGGACATTTTCGCACTTTGCTCTCACGCCGTTGAACTCTGAAACTCTGCACCTGCTTCTTAATGCCGTCTTTCCTTCCCACCACCTTTTTTTTTTTTCTGCAAGCAGAGGATGATTAACACTCTGAAATCCCACCAGTTTTCCCAAATCAGCTTTGAAAGTTAAACTCCAAAGTCCCAGATCACACACACACACACACACACACCTTCTAATGCATGCAGCCCTTCGCCAGGTTCAGTGTGTTGCCGCACTAATCCTCAGCCAACAATAGGGAACGGAGAGCGCCGCCTTAGGTCATACGTGTCACGTCTAATGAAAGGCCTCAAACGGAGAGGGGCTGGCTTTACACACAAAGAGTAAACAAACACCCAATGACCTTCACAATTTCACCCACACACACATATACACACACTCACAGTGATTTATAGTTCAATTAACAACAAGAATGATAGTGGTGGCATTTAGGTTGCGTGAGCACGGTTCAGATCACCACAGTGAGAGGGCAGGATAGCCAGGAGGCAATGTGCTGCAATACAACGTCCACCTAGTGTGAGAGGTCCAGGACCAACATGGTGGCGGCAGAGGTCACATGGTTCAAACAGGGCGTGTTTTTGTGTGTGTGTGTGTGTGTGTGTGTGTGAATGTGGGCGAGTGCATTCATGCGCGAGTGTGCGTGCATGTATATGTGTCCGGGCATTAGTGTGTGCCTGCACTCCAGCTGCTGTCAAAGCGAAAACCTTGTATCTCCAAATGTAAATCAACCCCATCTAATGGAAACCAAATATAGAAAGGCTGATATAGAATGAATCAGTATCAAACAGTCACTCGAAAAGCAGGTAAATATCATCCACACACTTCTTATCATCATGAAGCTTCATCAAAGAGCGTCAGTTGGTTAATTAGTCCAAAGTGATTCTACCTGAAGCAAAAGGTGCTTTTCTCAACATTTTGGAGATACGAGGTTTTCCTCAAACCGCGCACATGGATTGAAATGTTTGACCGCTTCCTCATGTTGTCTATACGTAGTGTGTGTGTAGCCTTTTTGCCCCCCGTGTTACATAATGAAGGACGCTGACTTAAATGCTTTGACTGCTGTGCCCTGATTTAAAACGGACATATAAGCAATACTCAATACCGCCTGGACGTCCATATGAGCCGCCGCTGCACGCAAACACACACGATCACTTTTCCATTTCACCCTCACCCTCTTCCGCTCATCATAACGGCGTGAGATAGAGTGCCACGGTTAATATTTCCAGGGCATTTTCGGGGCACTTTGATGTGATTTTCAGGGACAGTTTGAAGCTTTTTGGTGCAACTGATTCAATTTTATAGAGCTGTAAAATTTAGACAGCGTTTATGGAGCATCATTCAGAAACACTTAACTGCTTCTTCAGGCTGCTTGTTCACATTGGTTCCACTTTTCATGAATTGCTTTATTAATGATTAATAAATGAATCAGTAACACGCAAAAATAAGAAAAATAATCTTCCACTGTAAGTAAAATTTACAACTTCTTTTCGACAGACTTTTAAACTTCCTCCCTAGTTGTATGAAAAAGTGGGAAATTTATGACCCTTTGTCATGATTTACTTGTTATAAAGTAATTAAGTCACTGATAAAAGCCTATTAGCGCTCAGTTTTTAATCATCTAGCAGGCCTGCAGGTATAAAGACTAGCACGCTATTAACAAACGGTTCCTTCATTACAATTAACAGTCTGCTGTTTTATAATGTAAATAACAATTAAAACAGCAATTTGAATAAAGTTGCCCTCTGAGGGGGCTGCAGTAATAGGGGTCTCTCTTAATAAGCTGGTAATAAATGGATTTTGATTGGATGCTCTGCAGCTTTACAAGCTTCTGAACTGTTACTGGAGGTGTTATGAATGACAGGTAGATAAAGACAAAGCAAGCTGCACTTTCAGAAGATGTACACTGTCTGGTACTCAGGCTTCATGATTTTAGAAAAACTGATATTGCGATATATATATATATGAAACAATTATCTCTCTATCTGGAAGGAATAAATAATTCTGGACTAATTGGGGTATTTTTGCTGGACAGGGCAACTGCAGTGACGATAAACAATTATTTACAAAACACTGAGGAAAAAGTCATTTAGATCCTTTTTCATGTTGTATAACACTGGCAAAGGTGTCCATAATAGTTTTTTGCTTCAAATTTCATTCAGATCAGACTTTGTACCTCTCGTCCAGAGCTCACTGGTGCTGATTTAAATGGTCAAACAAACCAGTTGTGTTGCCTCGCATGGTGGCAACAGATGTAAGACACTGCTGACAGAGTTCCTATTCCTTGTCAACAACGTCCTTTATGTAGCCAAAATATTTCCATACAGCTGATGCTGCGTTTCTTTTTGCAACCAAATCTTCCTATTCAGTGTTTCCCTCCTGTTTCCCTCTGTTTGCTGTCCACATGTGGAGCCTGCATGCCAACAAACTTTCAGTGTATACAAGAACCATTATACAGGAGTAAATGATGGCATGGACAGTCATGGAAAGTAGGAACCTAGAAAGTTTTCATTTTAGATCAAGCAGCAAATACGCAGCCACACAACATGAAAGTGCTGGAACAATACATAATGCAATTCTCATTATAAGCAGCTTACTGTACAGTAACATCTAAAGTATAGCTCATTAAAAAATGTTTCCAAAGTCTATCAAATCACACATCATGTCACTCGTGTGGGCTGCATCAGGAAGAGCTGCATACACTCACTGTCTAGTTTGTTAGGTACTCCTGTGAAATCTAATGACATCCAATCTAATCCAATGCATTTGTTGATGCTGTCCAAACAGTGATAATTCTGCTTTACTGAGGCCATAGAGGACTGCTTT